AGTTGTAGCCGTTTGTGATGCATTAGCAAATCGGCAGTCGCCCCAACTGAACGTACAACTGAAAGGGAAGAGAAGCGAAGAATCTTTTGCCAAGTCGACTAGACTTCATCAATCACCTACGACAGCAATTACCGCTAATCACAGTCTTCATCAGTCATCCCTGAAAAGCGCTTCTGGTATTTGCCATAAAACAACAACCGAAGAAGTAGTCGATCGTCCCTCACAAAAGCTTGAGCACCGAGCGTCATCAACCTATACAGCAGCTGAGCATGAAACAAAGTTCGCAAATGACAACAGTAACAGTATGGATATTGGTGATAGCTATCACGAGGGAGAAACTCATAATGCACACGACCTTGTTGATACAACAGATTCACGTAGCAAAGAATTTGAAGAATATATTGATCGTCATATCCGTACGGCGCAAGACGAAGAGGAATACCATTTATTGAAGCTATATCGTTTGATGAAGAAAAAAGATAAAAGTGCACTTCTGAGAGGTGCAGAAAAATTAGCTGGGATTCATTAACTGATTCGATCCATCTAATCTCAAGCTACTTGACGTGTATTTTATTATTTTTTAAAATGTCGCTCTAATTTATTCCTCATGTAACACATTCTATTACCATTTCCAGGAAAAATCGTGACTATTTACGTTCGACTTTATCTTTATTCTATATATAAAAAGAAAAGTGTTACACAACACTCAGTTTTTATATAAAATCTTGTTTCTAATTTCGTCTACTTTAGTATAAAAATACTTTCTATCAATTACAGAATTGGTACACACTCTTCAGTTACACTGAGGCTGGCTTTATATGGCATATGGAATGCTCTACAGCATCAATTTCTCTATGTGGCTAACTGAATCAATTTTCTTTTTTTTATTTCACATAGAATGGAAACGCTTTGGATGTGCTCGGATGTAAGAATTAGTAGTGGCCTATTTTTCCTACCGTCTGTTTTTTATTTTATTTTTTTTAGAGCTATTATGCTGAACGTAAATAGATCATGATTTTAGAACATCTGAAACGATTAAAATCCCATCGACGATAAGTTGAATTATTTAGCTGCTTGAATTCCGGAAGCATAGACATCTATCGCAAGATGACCTAGCGCTCCTACCGGATTTACCACATTACAACCTATTTGGGCACGCTGCTCAAGCGATACGACGTCCTTTCCATATAAAAAAATTTCATGATTAACTGGGATTAATGCAAAAGTGCAAAGTAATTCTTTTCAAATTTCTTTGATAACATAGCGTTGCATTAATTCAGTACAAGAGAAATTACGTTCTCAGGGTTGTTCTGGTAGGCAGATTTAATTTCAGAAGACTTGAAGATTCTATGTTTATTCTCTTTTACCAAAGCTACACAGTGCGATATTTAATGTTCAAAAGGTGAGAAAACTTGCTATGCACAGTTTCGTCTGATGAAGATCTCTCCTTTCGTAAGTCATGGCTTTTATCTCTGAGCATAGTGTCCCAAACGGCAGCTTGAAGCTGAACGATAATTACTATGTGACAGACGCCATCGTGCTATTTCGAACATTTGCAGTCGACAAACAGGTTTCGCTTCGTACCGCGGCTCCCATATCCAAATATATATAATCCATTAAGACAAAAATCTTTATTTCGTTTTGGTAATCCTAAGTCTACTTCAAGTGTAGATAGAATAGTGGAGAAAAGGTGAGGCTCCACTACTCCAAAAAAAAATGGAGTACGGGTGAAGTACTAGTGGATTACTGTAGAGTACACACTCCTGGAGTCGCGCTTTTTCCCCTTGAGCGAGAATGTCTTTGACAAATAATAGTGTTCGTTTTGAATTCATATGAACGTGTATGTGAAATAAACAAGTATTCTCTGTTCTAGCATTCATTCATTTTTTATTATTTCAAGTTATTCATATTGAGCACCATTTGTTGGTTAGATTGCTATTTTCTACGGTCCTCTTCTAGTGCTTAAACTGTCTCATATTTCTTCCACATGTTTCCTGCATGATCTGCTATATTGGTAGACCTTCTTTCTCTTTCTTTGCGTGTGTTTTATATTCTTTGTTCTTCTGTTATTCATTCATATGACCATTTTCAAGTACTTTCTTGTTTTTCCTTTTCAAACATTGTACAAGGTGCAGACACTTGAGAATTTAAGTAAATTTTTTTCTCGTCCTTTTCTATGTAGTTTGATAGAGTGTGAGCTGTTGATTATGACAAACTATTTTTTAGCCTCAGCGAACGCATTCTTTAGGCGGAAAAAAAACAAAAACCCTGGAAGACATCGGTTTTCTAAAAAAAAACATCTTTTCAAAACATGCTAAGTTTTTCTACCCACTTCTTCTTGCTAGCTCTAAGAATAGTTTTTTCAGATTCAGTATACAAAACTGAGTAGGGACCAGATGTTAAATCAACTTTAATCCCAAAAGTCTTCTGTTGGTAGCAGCTCGAACGGCGCCGATTGCACCAGGCATAGGTCGTTTTTTTAAACCCATCTAGTTTTTCTAATTAAGCAAGAAAGCCAAATACTTTATCGCATTCAATTCGTCATGCCAACAATTGTAAAAGTATGTATGATTTATGTTCTATATTACTTTGTTGCTGAGAAAATTTATTTTTCCTAAATGTTAGACAGAATTCCTAGAATTTGGCCCATAATTCCCAACTTTGTTTATCAACATGTATATTTTATCTAATAAAACTACCGTATTAGGGAATAGCATCAAGAACTGAGTCGACTAGGGTATAATTCTATCATTTGCGATGACTTCAGACTTGTCCCAGTTTTCTCCTGAACTGATGACTGAAATTTTCATCAAATATACCTTATTGAAATTGGCGCGGTTCGAGCGCTATCAGCAGAAGACTTTTGGGATTGAAGTTGATTTAACATCTTGTCCCTATACAGTTTTGTATGCTAAATCTGAGAAAAACTATTTTTAGAAGCCAGCAAGTAGAAGTGGGTAGAAAAACTTTGCATGTTTTGTAAAGATTTTTTTTTTAGAAAAACGACCTCTTCCAAGTTTTCGGTTTTTCTTCTTCCTAAAGAATGCGTTAGCTGAGGCTAAAAAATAGTTTGTCATAATCCATAGCTCACACTCTATCATACTATATGGAAAAGGACGAGAAAAAATTTACTTAAAGTTTGAAGTGCCCACACCTTATATACTTCTAGAAAAAATCTCTGTAATCCATATTTCTAACATATCATATATAGAAAACGCATTTTTAGAAAACTAATTATATATTATAATAGCCATCGGAGTTCTTTCTTACCCTGTATAATTATCTTTTTTCTTGCATTTCTTTGCTGGAAAATAATCTGAGGGTAATGAATACACCCTCAATTAGATTCCCATGGACTACATTTTTGTGGTACTATTTCATTCTTTCTTTTGAGTTTATTATTATTATTATAACAATAATTTTTTATAAAATTATTTATATGATCTGATAGCGCTTCAAATTCTCTATCACTCTATATATTCATATCTTTTATTGTATTCATCTATTGGAAAAAAAACTGAATACAATAAAGACAACTGCATTTCATAAGCACCAAAAAAATGCATATTTTTTTCTACTTCTTCAGTATTTTTCAAATTATAATGACTATAGGAATATCTTTTTACAAAAGTAATTATGTATTTAGATAGCGCGACGACTAGTCTGTTATCCTATATTTGGTAAACCTTTCGATTTGAATCCTATGCCATAAATA